TTGCTTATTGCTATTTAATACAAAGAGGTGTTGCATTAGAGACAAAGAAAGACAATAAAATAAAGAAGGTGCAGCGACCCCAGAAGGAATTTTGTTATTATAGTATATATATTGGGGTTTCTCTGTGGAGTTTACGCTGTAGAGTTAGGGTTTAGAGCTAGGGTTTAGGGTTTAGGGTTTTCGTTATCTTGAGAGTACCTTAGGATCTCTGCTTCTTCTATTATACGCCTCAACTCCTTTATGACGGCCTGGCTGACGTAAGCTGCAAATAAACAGAACAAAAAAAAACAAATAAATAAAAAGAAAGAAATAAAAAACAAATAGAACTGGCGGGGGAGAGAAGAAGAGTAAGCTGTTTCATGTATTAGCGACAGAAGTAGCAGTAACCCCTACATAAACCCCAGCAACATTGCTGGGGTGTATGCTTACCTTCCTTTCTGATCATTGTATCATTTTTATAATTGGAGTTATTGGCGTAACGCATGCGTCCTTCGGCGAGAAATTCAAATTCAAGAAACTCATGACCGAACTTCCCCTTGTGGCCGGTGCTGAAACCAGAGGTAAATTGAGGAGAAACCCTTTATAAATTGTGTGTAAATGCATGCAAATATAGAAATTAATGATAATATAGAAAAAAAGAAGAAATTCAGCCAAGAAAAATACAACTTTTCAACAGGTTTCCACCTCGGAAACCATGCAAATTCAGGTGTACATGCACCTGCGCATACACCTGAAATAAAGCGTTTCATGAACAAATAAACACTCACTAGTAACGCAAATAAAAATCGTCGTCGTCCCCCATGATGGAAAGTTTGTAGAAATGAAACTGAAGTGGTGTTTAACCTGAAAATTCAATAAAATACAAAAAAAAAAAACAGAAACAAACAAACTTGAACAACAGAAACTCGCCCATGAGCTCCACCACCGCTGCAGTATACTTCGTCGTCTTCACCCCTGACGGAAACCTCGGGGTTTCTGCATTTCTTTGACGTTTTCTATGGCTAAATTTAACGCAAAAAACTAAAAAACTTTCATAAAACCTACAAAGTTAAACCCACCAGAGAGAGAAACCTGCTGCTCCCCCCGTACTGTTCGCTGCCGCTCTGCCCGGCGGGGGGCTAGGAGCGACGCTGAGGGCCCTACAGAGCTCAAGAAGTATATTTGAATATTTCAACAAAGTTAATTCCTGAAAAGAAGAGGTATTTAGAGAGAAAAACCGAGGAAACCAGAACAAATTAAGCAGCTACATGAACAGGTCTATCTGCATGCGTTTGGGGCTGGGGGATTCGCAAGAATCTTTATTAACAAGTAATGCAGCAAAAACAAGAAACTTTATTATTTCAATAATATTTATTTCAACTTTTGTTGTTTTAAGAGGTCACTACTCCATAACAAACTCTTTTATAAGACAGAAATGCAATACAGCGTTTTACTGTTCTCGCTAGAGTTGAGGGTTTGTACAAATTTGTTTTCTTCGGTTTGTTATTTTAGTTTGTTTTTCTTAGTTTGCTTTCTTGATTTTTTTCTTTAGTTTGTTTTCTTGAATTAGCCTTTTTTAGTTTGTTTGCTTAGTTTGTTTGTATCCTTTAGTTTGTTTTTTTTAGTTTGTTTTTTTTTAGTTTGTTTTCCTTAGTTTGTTTTCCTTAGTTTTTTTTTCTGTCTCAGTTGCTAGCGGATCTTACACACGTTTGTAGCTTCCTTTTATACTGCACCTTTTCGTGCATTTTCTCTCTTTCTGCGTATTCTATGTAGGTTAAATATATTAAACAATTCTAAAGATCAAACATAGTAAACAAATCTATATATATATATATATATATATATATATATATATATATATATATATATATATATATATAT